TAGGCGCTCCAGCGTGCGGGTTTGGGGTTTGCTTATTTTGTTTCATTCATTTATTTATTTGTTTTGCTGAGGGGAGGTTTTGCTGCTCGGCAGCGTTTGCCGGAACGAATGAATAATCCTATACGCGAAGCGGTGTAGCGGCTTTTTTGGGGAACAGTTTTTCGGCTGGGGGGAGGGGGGGTGCTGTTAAGTAGGGCTCGCCTGCTCGGGGAGGGAGCTTGAATAGATACGCTTAGAGAAGCAGTGCTTTCCAGGAATTTAAATGAGACTTTTTTTTTTTTTTGGTGGTTGCCTTTCAAGGCTTTTTTTTTTCCTGTTAGTTCTGTATTTGCTTTTGCCCATTGGACTTATAAATAGTTAGGCAGCCGTGCTGGCATGCAGAAATCAATGTTCTCGAAGAAAGAAAGGTCTCTGCAAATTTGCCTCGGCTATGCAATGTAGAGCACTTTGCGGACTGCTTTTATGCTTTATTGGGAACATTATCTTCTATAATATTCAACTGCCATTTCTAATGCATTCCTGTCTTGTTATTGTGTTTCAGTTGTTTTATTAGGAAAAAGATTCTGATTGTGTTACTCATTCGAGTAATTTAGTAGTTAACTGTTGGAGTAAGATTTAGTCATTTCATTTTTTCGTCTGGAAAGAAATGTTAAATAGTAGGCTGAAGGCAATACCAAACCTCAAGGTTAAGGTTTTATGATTTTTTTTTCAGTCTGATCTTCCCTTTTCAGTCTTGCAAACTTTCTGAACTTTAACGCTTTGCAATGAAAATTTCCAAGCTTGGTGTCTGCATCCAGGTAATTTTAATGTATTTAATATGTTTGCTTTGGAAAACTCACGCAAAAGTAATTCAACTTGTTTTGATAATGTGCAGCTTTTGGGTGGGGGAGAAAGATTTTTTTTTTTTCTATTTAAAGGTGAAGCTCTTGCAGGTGTTTTTTGACAGCTTTTTTAAAATTGATTTTAAATTTGAAACATGGTTTAGACTGCTTTCAGAAGTTTTTTTCTGATTAAAACATCATTTGACCAGAAATCTGATGCTAGTTACATATGTTCTGGTTTTGTGTGTGTCTTCCTAAGACCAAAAGTTGATCTTTTAGGAAAAGATGTGCTGTTTGTTCTTGAATGAGAAGCTGTGATGAAAAGTGTACTCGGAGAGTCTGCCGCTGAGGTCCTGTCTGCTTATTCAAATGTAAGGATATTAGGCACTGATTCTGCAGCTGACAACAAAGGGTGTCCTGGCAGACGTGAAAGTGCTGGGTTTGAGATGATGTAAGCAAGGATTGCTATGCACTTTGAAATTGTTGTAGGAAGAAGTCTTCTGTGATGGAGTTTAGGACCTCCCCAAATCCTGATGTGATAGTAAGCAACCTCTTTTTCTTCTGCGGTTCATCTGGGCAGAGGACAGGATTTCCCCGCATTGTCCAAACGGAACACTCATAGTTGGAGGATGTATATAAAGCGGTAGAGGTCTGCTGCAAAGTTGCAGGCTTCTGCATCTGTGTTTTGTGATGAGTGTCCTACTGAGGAAAGGAAAAGAACAGCCACACAACTAGGTAAAGTATTATAAAAATTTGATAAAATGAGCTAAAGGATGTTGGGGTTGCATATATTAGCATCCCAGTAGGAAAAAATTATTAAGGATAAAATTGGATGTTACCTTAACTCTGTCCTTCTCTGAAATGTGGAAGGTGAGTGTCTTTTATGAGTTCTTACATTAAACATAGAGCTGTGCATAAATAAAATCTGAATATATCATATGCCATGCTGATTTAGAATTATTTTCTATTTTGCTTGCTTAATTTTTATTCCTATGGAATTTGATTCTTTTTTTATTTCACCTGACACATTTAAACAATATAAAACCATAGCATGATCTTGATAGCATATTGAATTGATGCTGTATATATTAGTTACTGCAAATACTAGTGGAGCATGCTGGATTTTACTTCAGTTACTGGAATATTACTTGCCTGATCAGAAATGATGTGTAAATCTCTTAGCTATAATTTTCAAACTGTGTTTTGGACATTTCTCTGTGTGTTAAGCAATTGGTTGGTGGTCTACAGAGGACTATTTGGCCATATGTTGTTGGTTTGTTTTCCTTGTATTGAGCTACTAATGTTATTAAAAGAAGCCAAAATATATTAAATACCAGTCTAATATTAATCCTCTTGATAAGAAATTGCTGTAAAGGCTATTAGAATTGTAGGTGCATACAAATACTGTGTTGAGCAGTGTGCAGGTAAATCCAGGAAAAGGGTCAGTGAGAGACACATTGAGATCTGTGCAGGTCTGTTGAGATGCTGTTGGTGCTGCAAAAAATGTGAGTGCTTCTATGACACGGTAACTTTGGAACAAAAGCAGAGGGACTTGATTCAAGGAATGCAAAATCTGGCTTTGCTACTACTTTCATAGTGCAGAAGTCATTTTTTGCCGCGTAAGACTGTTGGATTCCTCTGAGTAAAGGTTCTAGCCCGTAAAGAGCTCTTCCTGACGCTAAACGGTATCCCTTTCCTGTGTTTGAAGTACAGTGGAGAGACTGGCTAGTAACATTCATACTGGTGAATGAAGAAGGAACTTACAATGTGAGATACTATTCTTTAAATTATTTCTCTTGCTGTTAGTTATTACAAAGTACTAGAGTGCCACAACTTGAATGTAATTAATGTAGTAAATGGTTTACTAGGCACCATCTGACCTCTTGTCTTGTTTAATTATAGAAGCTTAGTGCAGTGATCTGTGTACAGTATTTGGCAAAAATAATTGCTTTCAGACTTTTATCTGAGCACAGTTATTTTTGGAGCACGTGCATGCAGGGCTTTTGCCTCAACTCTGTACCTTTTAGGCTCTGATTTACAGTCATGCCGCTACATTTCACAATTTACATAACTCAAAAATAGTTACTTTGTGATTTTATTGGTAGTCATTCAAAGCAACTGTTCCACGTGCCATTGTATACCCTATGTCTTGATCTTCCTTAAAATTCTTTAATTGATAGTTAGGTATCAACAAAACCATCAACAAAACCATGGCACAAACGGCAAAGTTGCAACTATTTTTCTTCTGAAAGTTTTGGAAGTTTTTAAACAGTCACTGATGTTAAAGAGAGTATTTCTTCCAGTGATGCTGTGTGTTTTCAAAATGGTTTTAAGAATATAAAAGGAACAGCATAGGCTGAAGTCTGTGCCACAAAGAATTTACAATAAAAAGTTCAGATACAGCAAACCCTTCCTTCTTCATGTGTTTAATCACATATATCAGTTCCATAATGGATGCCATCTCCATCTAGCAGAACTCATGCTGTCTTGTTTAGGATGTGAGAAGATCATATGAAACGCTAAATACAACTACCGCATGATACCTGAGAATAACATAAAAAACCTGATGTTTATTATGAGTCTTGTGAGCGTTTTGTATTCTAGGTCCAGTCTTGAAAATGTGCAACTATAGCAAACTGATTTTCTTGATCAGTAATAGTGCTGAGGAAAAACAGTTTTGAAAGGATTTATTTTTATTTGGTCTGAAAAATGACGCAGATTTTAAACAGTGTATGATTAGCTGGGCTTGAGGGTAAAGCATGCCAAAATTGTTGTTTTCAAAGATTGACCACTTCCAGACAGATTAACGCTTTAAGAGTTAAATGTCAGGGACCTGTTGTCAGTGTTCTTGATGGGGGTCCTTGACCTTGGACCTTGCTCCTAAGAGATGTTCTGACAGAGCCTGTTTGTTCACTGGCCTTCAAAGCCGCCAGTCCCTTTGGAGAGGCCAAATCTTCCACACTGCTGAAAACTGCTAAAAGTTCAGTGGGAGCTGAGGGCATGCAGCAGATTTGGCCTCTAGGATGTGCCGGTCTTTCTCGCTATTACTTTTCCTTGAAGATGGGACCTTATAGTTGTCCGTATGTGTTGTTACACTGTGCTCTCTGGAAGGTTGCACTTCATAAATCTAAATGTAAATGGAAAGTAATTGTTATTCATTGCATAGCTCTGCAATTGTCATTATAGTAGGATTCACTGCATTTCTTGTATAAACCACTGTTTATTATATTAAACTGTATAAATACTATACTAGATTAAGACAGTTTATAGCTAGGGTTGTGAAGTGACTGCAAGTGCTTTCTGAAGACTGAACACGGTATCAGTTGAACCGGCTGTTAACTGGGGAAGTGGGGTTATTCTTCCCTGGTGATGCATATCTATCCTTGTAGAAGATGTTTGACCCACAGCATGTAGAGGACTTACTGAAATGTGGTGATTTGTTCTGCAGCTTTGTGAATCCATTGTGTTATTGAGGGAGCCAAAGGTGCAGAGGATGTAAAATTTGATGAGGGATCTTTATTGGTTCCTCGGTTTAAAGTAGCTCCACTGTACTAAGTTGTATAGTTAATTTTGGTACTGGAGTTGCCCTTCAGTTCATCACCGGAAAAACTACTTATGGCCTGATCACTGCCATACCTGTCCCTCAGTAAAGGCTCTGATGCTGTATGAAATACCGAGCATATATTCTCTTCTGCCCATGATGTCTACTTTGAAGGACAGGGACCACAGTCTACACCTTTTCTGTATAAAAATATAGTGGTGTTCTCTACAGCAGAGGTCCAAAATGCCCTAGTTCTTCAGATATTTACATGACCACGAAGTGCAGAACTTGATGTTCTTTAATGAGTAAACAAGCACCCACAAGATTTACTTTATAAAAATTATAGGAGTAGTTCTTATATAAGAAGATGCTATTTCAAAATATTGCTTCAACACAATGCATTGCAAATCTCAAAAATATTGTAAATATTTTATAATTCACAATGCAGAGCTGGAGTTGCTTAGCTTTGGGCTGGAAACAGGATATCAGGTCTTCCACCCTTATGGTGCCTCTGTGAATCCAGGTCAGTAACAAATGAAAGCTGTTACCATCTGATGGCTGCCTAGTCACCTGTGAAATGTATTTTCTAATAGACAGGTTTCCACATCATAGAAGCAGCCACTGCAGTTAGATAAGCAAAACCAGCACCCTTGTAGAAAGACTCTCTAGAAGGGCTAACAACCACAGCATGCTTCATCCTACTCTAAAACTGATCCTGCCAGGTGAGTATTTCCAAACATTTATGGTATAGGGTAGCATGGCTACTAATCATACTGCATCTGCTCATGCAGAAAGAGTGCATTTCACTGTCAGAATTGTTGACTTCTCTCTTCTGTAAATGCTTCCTCTGTAAAAGCAGGAAGAAGTGGGATGCACAGCAGCATCATTGAGGTCTTATCTTCATCTGAAGTTGTCGACAAAATGTTCAAAGGTTTCATCGGGTTTAGGCTTTTATCCTATGGAAGTATTATAGAGAGCACACTCTGTCTCTCAGTGAAGGTAATCATGTCCAGGCTTGATAACAATTACCGACAAATTGGTTGAGAATCAGTGATTAATTTTAACAAAAGAGTTTTCTCCGAATGCAAGGAATGCAAGCTTACTTGTGCTAATTATAACAATAAGCCTACAATAAAATGATGACCTTTTTCTTTGTTTAAACTTCACACCTGTTGATGACTAATTATTTCTTTTAATGTCTTAAAACATCTATGCTTTGTGGGGAGTGTCATTGGGGAAAACAAACAAGTGCTTTTTCTCCCCCAGAATACCCTAACACACAAACAAATGTTCAGAATGGTTGCAATATTTTTTTCAAGACACTAGGGATTATTTGGCATGCAGTATCTTACAGTCTGGAAGGCCTCTAGTGTCTTCAGTGAGCTATGGTCCTGATCCCAAGTTCCCTAAAATCAGTTAAAGGTCTCCTGCTGATTTCAAGTAGGCTTTGGATTTAGACCCATGCAATTCTTAGTTTGTATTTCAACTGCAAGCTCTTTTCAACAGGAGACAATAAACCTGGGTGGTAGGAAACAAACCTCTTGGAAAACATATGTGGGTTAGGTCACATTTTGATATATTGAAGAAGCTGATTTTAAAAGACAGCCTGCTTGGGCTAAATATATCGTAAATCGTTATAGAAGAAGTATTAGGAATAGGAAGAGCACAGGAATATTTGGAAGTAAGCAGTGTACACTATGTGATTTTGCTATGAGTGATGGTACTAGCATAAAAGTTGAGTTATAGCTGCATAGGCAAAAAGTATTATTTCTTAAAAATACAGATGTGGTTTATAGCAAAATCAAGTAGTGACGTGTTTTAGATATTTAACTTAGATATAATATAGTACATGAATGCAAGACCATATTCTAACTACCTTAACTCAATGCACAGACTTTTTATTAGCACTGCTGAAGGGCACAGAATACCATGAGTGGTTTTACATTGATGAATTTGCATGACTGTAGCTGTGTGTTGTTGACATTTTCTTTATAGTATTCTGCTTTTTTTCAGAAGCTTATAATTCGCCCATAAAACACACGTTCTGATTTAAAGCATAGTTGAAAGGTCTACTTAGTGGAAGGAAAAGTTTTACTAAATATAAAAATAATTGCTTTGACAAAATGGAGAACGATTTGGCTTTAACAAAAAGAACTCTCTTCTCTTCTTTCCTTTTTTTTTGTTTTTTTTTGTT